ATACTGACTTTGATGGACCAAGGGTCTGATTCAGTATAAGGCAGCTTCATGTTTCAAGCAAAGGTTTACTTAACAGAAAATAAAGTATGTAACAAATTACGATGTATGGATAATGTAAAACTGGCTCTCAAATAAAGTAATAACCCCTGAGGGGAGATTTGATACCCCTTTCCCTGGACAGGTTACCTCAGCAGGTTCAAGGCTGCTCTTTTCTCTCACAGAGTACCTTACCACAGGACCTACACATGCCAGTTAGGAATGATGGGCCCTTAACAGGATGCTTATTTGAGCCACTAAAATAAGCTTTCTTCCCTAAGCCGAGCTCCAAAACCCAACTAAAAAGCCAAATAAAAGCCTGGCTAAGCTGACAGTCCTTTCCAGAGCGTCCCCTCCTCCCATCCAGTGGCATTCCATGGGCTTTGACTGGCTGACAATCACTTGGATTTGCATGAGGCCTAAATCACAAAGATTGGTTCACAGCCCAGGAGGAGAGGCAGGACTTTTAAGGATGGTTGCCACCAGGGGTCATTTCGTAGAAAAAGAGCTAGGGGGACTCATTAGCATAACTCATTAGCATATGCCACACCCCCTGACATCACCGGAAGTGTGTCCTCCCCACAGCCGGCGGCGACCTCCAGCGGGCACCAGCAGGGAGCTCCAGGCCCCGCCCTCCCGCACCTCACCCGGGGGGATGGCGTCCCCCCGCGTCCCCCCCAAATGACCCCTGGTTGCCACAGAGGTCTCCTAATTTCCCACTATCTAGAAATACTCAAAAATCATCCAACTCTCTGGGAAGAGTGACAGCCAACATGGTCTAGTGATTAGGGTGCTGGACTAGGATCTATGAGACCCTGGTTCGAATCCCCACTCTGCCATAGAAGCTTGCTGGGTACCTGGGGCCAGCCACATAGTAGCAGCCTAACCTACCTCACAGGGTTGTTGTGAGGAGAAAATGGAGGAAGGGAGAATGATATAAGCCACTCTGAGGTCCCCATTGGAGAGAAAGATGGGGTATAAAAGAAGCAAATAAATAAGATTTGCAAATAAAATGAATTAGGGAATGCTTTATCCTTGCACATTTCTACTACTTCCTTCCTCCCCTCAAGTTTGGCTAAAAAATTAAATGCTTCTACTTTCGAATTAAGTATGAATCATACCCTTTGCTTTGTTCTTTGCCCTCAAAACTAGGCCATTTCTGCATGGGTCATCTGCCCTTGGTTCAATGCTCTTGGGAAACAGGGTTTCCCCCCTCTGCTTCCTCACAGCATTATGGTACATTCATGGATCTCCCTGGCTTTTCTCTGATCTTTCTCAAACTTGCTTTACTCTGAAGTTTTGAAAAGGATCACTGTAAAGCCTGGATGCTGCCATCCGGGTAGGAAAGTTTGGATTTCCTGCCATTTCCCCTGACCCTGTGGCAACCATTTATTCCCTCTGCCACTGGCAGTTGTTTATTTTTTTACAGAATGGCATTAGAATATCATTATATCAATATATCAGTGTAACAATAGGTGTAATCATTTCTCTGAAGTCCCTCCCTCCCCTCCCTCCCTTCGTAAGTCCCTAGCTCTTTCCTTGCTGAAATGTAAGGGAAAAGGCGTATCTTTGCAATGGAAGGGGCTGGAAAGCTTGTTTTAAAAAACAGAAATGTGAAATTCACAGAACCTGCCATACCTATTGTTACAATGGTATATTGATATGATATTCTAGCACCATTTTTTAAAAAACAGCAAAAGCCCCAGTGGCCGAGGAGAGGAGGGGTGGCCGCTATTGGTGGATGGTACAGGGAAACTGCATGGAACCTGCCGTGTGGAAGTCCCATTGCCATTACACTTCATCTGTGGCTGCACTAGCAATGAAGAATAGCATTGCAGGGCTATTTTTGGGCAGGAACGCACAGGAACGGAGTTCCGGCTGGCTCCCAAGTTGGCCACGCCCAGCAGGAACTCATTAGCATAAGAGGCAGAGGTCATTTCGGGGGGGAACGCAGGGGAACACAGTTCCCCCGGGTGAGGTACGGGGGCGGGGCACATGACGAAGCTTTTTCTACAAAAAGAGTCCTGGCATTGCCAATTCCAGGTTGGAAATTCATGGACATTTGGTTGTGGCACCTGGAGAGGGCAGGGACTTTGGCAGAGTATAATCCTATAGAGTCTACCCTCCACAGCAGCCATTTTTTGCTAGGGAACTGGTTTGTGTCAGCTGGAGATCACATATGATTCTGGCAGACCTCCAGATCCCACCTGGAGGTTGGCAATCCTAACAGAGAAAACACACATGCTCCAGCCAATGCGGAAACCATCCTAGTATTAAACCGTGGTTGGTATCTGTGTTAGGTTGTAAGAGAACAAACCATTCTCTCAGATTCAGACAAAACTGTGACACTGTAATCATGGTAACATCAAAACTTGCTAGCCACGCACAAAGGGAGATACTAACTAAGGATTTGCTTTCTACTTCTGGATGACATTTGTTTTTCTTGACCTAATACTCTGTGCTCCTCATGGACCTCTGAGTTTCTTCAGCTAATCTGAACTGTCAAAGAAAGAAAAATGTCCTACTTAAAAATGTTTAGAATATGTTAAAAGGAAAAACATATTTTGATAACAAAAACTCTCCTTATATATAAAAGAGTTTTGGTGTGACCCCTGCACACACTCCTGCAGCCTTTGGCTCCCTCACCTGCCACTCTGAAGGGTCCCCTGGCTGCATTGGCTGGCTCCCTTACCTCTGTCCCACCCACAGAGGCGGACGCCAGCGTCTCGAGCTCAGTGTGCTCTGAACCAACCCACGGGACGGACGCTTCGGTGGCCGGAGGGTGAGCAGGCCAACTGGGAGATGCGGGGAAAAGAAGCGAGAGGCCAAAAATGTTCAGACACCTGGGCAGGAAGAGAAACACCACCCAACAGGCTCCCTCCCATGCTCAGGGGGGCCCCTCCACCGCCCCCTCTACCTCTGCCTGTTGCCTGGCAGGGACAAGCCCCAGACCTCTGAGGCAGCCGCCTCTGTGGCAGCCGAGCAGACGGGGGGGGGGTGCAGGGTACTCCCACACTGACGGCTGCCCAGGCGACTTGATGCCCCAGTGCTCCTCAGCCCAGCCCTGCCTTGCTTGGCCTCCTCTTTCTTCCTCACGCAGAGCCCTGAGGAGCTGGAGGCCGGCGTCCCTGCCTGCCTGCCCCTGGCCCGCTTCCAGAACCACTCCACAGCATGGGCCAACTGTGCTGAGGTGCCATTGGCCTCAGAAGCAGCCGAGGAGGAAGAGGGAGTGGGGTGGCTGCTGCTGCTGTGCCAGGAGGCCACCCCTCTGCCAGCAGCCCTGTCATCAGTCGTCCTCCTCACATGAAGCGGCTCTGACACCGCTCTGTGCTGTGCCCTGCCACCCCCCCCCCCGCTGAACACACCGCGAGGCCTCTGTGCTGCAGACCCACCTCCACACCAAATGCCTCCTCCTGCCTGACCCCAGCGGTGAGAGCCAGGATGCCAGCAGTGGCAGACCAGCATTGCTCTGTACGCCGCTGGGCCCGGAGGACGAGGCCGCCTCCACCCCTTCTTCTCACAAGGGAGGGGCTGGCAGCTGGCAGCCCAGCTAGAGTTCGTTCCATTTGTCTCCACAATGAGCCTTTCTCCTAGTATTTTCATATTACTGTTCTCAGAAGAACAGACTGAGGATCCCTGTTTATACTTTTACCTGACTTGCAGCAAGTCTAGCTCAAGACATTAGTTAACTGGAATGGTAACTCACAAGCACTAATTAACACAGGGCACAATCCAGCAAGAGTTTCTCCTGCACATAAAGTTGCTAATTTTGAAACTGGCCCCCGTAACTGGGCCTTTAACAGCCATTTCAGCTGGAGCAATTAGCAAGTGGTAATGTTTCTTACACAGTTATGAAAAACCTCTCCTGCTGATATCTGCATATCACACTGCTGTTGATGGCACAATAGAAACCCAGGCCAATGTTTTTCTGGGCATTCAGCAATCATAGCTGTACAAGGAATGTAGAAATTAATTTGAGGTACACAAGAGCACTGTTGTACTCCTCCTTGGCTCCTATAAATTTCAGTGGACTTATGCAAGAGAGTCTTCTTATCGATTGTACTTTGTGGGTCTGATCTATCTGGCTCCCCATATGTGAACATGATAAGGCCACTCAATATTTAATGTAGCAGGATCCAGCAAATAGTTTTGATTCATGGGCCTATGGGAAACAAACAAACCACATGAAGTCCAGACGACAAGGGCAAGGGTAAGGTTAAAAATGCCAGGATGCTAGAAATTCTCTATTATCTTTATGCCCCAATCAAAAGTGCTGGAAAGTGAACATCAGTCTTAGACAGATTCATCTCTGCCCATAAAAACCTAAGAAAAAAAGGTGGAATGAAGGATACTTTTGCAAATATGTTTTCCTTTCTAAATAAAATTTACAAAGGGAATGTACAGTACCAGAAGGAGTGTCCATAGGGGAGCAGAGCTGGCCCAAGAACTTGCCTCACTCTAGGCTGGCTGCCACAAGCACCCCCATCCACAGACCAGCCTGGGAGTAGCTCACAAGCACCTTGAGTCACCAACCACTTGAGCAGGTTGGAACTCAATTTCATGCCAGGGACCAGCCTACCTGAGGGACCGCCTTTCCCCGACTCAATTTCTTGCTGATGCAGCTGGGGTTGCCAGCCCCCAAGTCCCAGCGGATGTTCCCCCATTTTGGGGGGCTTCAATCTGCTAGCCAGTGGGGGAAATCTCACCCCCAAACAAGGACGTCGCTGCACAACATTTCTGATGGAATGACATCACTTCCGGGTGACAGAAAAAAGCTGAGCTGACGGGCAGCCAGCTGGGCACAGCAGTAGTGTTGGGGCTGGAGGCACCCTTGGTCCCCTCTGCCCTCTGGCTTCCTAGGCAATAACCTTGGACTGCCTAATAGGTGGGCCACCCTATAGTTGGAGTGTCACTAATCTCTTCCCTGCCTGCAGATTTTCCCGTGTTTCTTCCTGCCTGCCTACATATGTCTTCCCTGCATATATTACTTCTTCTTCCCTTGCCTCGGCCATGTATTTATTTATTTATTTAATTTTCATATTTGTATCCCGCCCTCCCCAATGGGCTCAGGGCGGCTAACAAGGGCAAGGTCATTTGCCATGCCATAGGTAAAAACATATAAAACATAGTAAAACATCCAACACTAAAACCACAGTACTCAATCATTACTAATATCCTAAATCCAAGATGGCAACACCGCAGTTCCAGATGGTCCTCCCATAGTATACGTGTCCAATGGCGACGGCTTGTCAGATCTTCAATAGTTTCCAGGTTCTTCCTCGGGCCTCGTCGATGCATCCTTTAAGATACCTTGACGGTGGTGGTATAATGGGGCGGCAGCTCCTACTCAAAGGCCTGGCGGAAGAGCTCCGTCTTACAGGCCCTGCGGAACTGCTCAAGGTCCCGCAGGGCCCGGATCTCCCCCGGGAGCTCGTTCCACCAGGTAGGATCCTAGGAGCCGCCACCGAAAAAGCCCTGGGCCTGGTCACGGCTAGTTTCACATCCTTGGGACCCGGGATGACCAACAAATTTTGGGTCCCCGACCGTAGTGCTCTTGGGGGAACATGTGGGGCAAGGCGGTCCCTCAGGTAGGCTGGACCCTGTACCCTGTAATTAAACTTCATTGGAACAGATTGTTTAGGGATGCCAGTTGGGACCTGGGAATCCCCTGGAATTACAGTTCATCTCCAGACTACAGAGATCAGTTCCCATGGAGAAAATGGATGCTTTGGAGGATGGACTCTTTGGCACTGTACCCCACTGAGGTCCTTGTCCTTCCCATGCTCCACCCCAAAATCTCCAGGAGTTTCCCAACCTCAATCTGGAAACCCTACCACACCCCACACCCCTGCGAGTGTCCAACGGAGACCTGGGAACCCTAAAAAACTGTAGATTTCAAATCCAAGATTTTCAGCACAAGAGGAACCAAAGCACTTAAGGAGTTCAAACACTTTTGTTGGGAGGAAACGCCAAAGGTTTTAGGAATTTTCAGTTTAGAGAAAAGATTGCTTAGGGTGATGTGATATGATATGAAATTACGCACAGTCTGGAGAATGTGGATAGAGACAATTGTTCTCCCCTCTCTCTTGATAGGGGTGCCCCAATGAATTCAAGACAGACAAAATAAAATAATTTGTTACACAATATATAACTGTTAGAACTCACTATCAATGTTCCCTCTAAGCAGTGGAGTCTTGTGAGCAAAAATTCTACTTTGTGAGCTACTTGCATTAAAGTTGTGAGCAAGCGATTTGGCTACTGGATAAATTTAGTTTGCTCTGGGGCCATGGCTTGTCAGATCTTCAATAGTTTCCAGGTTCTTCCTCGGGCCTCGTCGATGCATCCTTTAAGATACCTTGACGGTGGTGGTATAATGGGGCGGCAGCTCCTACTCAAAGGCCTGGCAGAAGAGCTCCGTCTTACAGGCCCTGCGGAACTGCTCAAGGTCACGCAGGGCCTGGATCTCCCCCGGGAGCTCATTCCACCAGGTAGGAGCCGCCACCGAAAAAGCCCTGGGCCTGGTCACGGCTAGTTTCACATCCTTGGGACCCGGGATGACCAACAAATTTTGGGTCCCCGACCGTAGTGCTCTTGGGGGAACATGTGGGGCAAGGCGGTCCCTCAGGTAGGCTGGACCCTGTACCCTGTAATTAAACTTCATTGGAACAGATTGTATAGGGATGCCAGTTGGGACCTGGGAATCCCCTGGAATTATAGTTCATCTCCAGACTACAGAGATCAGTTCCCATGGAGAAAATGGATGCTTTGGAGGATGGACTCTTTGGCACTGTACCCCACTGAGGTCCTTGTCCTTCCCATGCTCCACCCCAAAATCTCCAGGAGCTTCCCAACTGCGGGTGTCCAACGGAGACCTGGCAACCCTAAAAAACTGTAGATTTCAAATCCAAGATTTTCAGCACAAGAGGAACCAAAACACTTAAGGAGTTCAAACACTTTTGTTGGGAGGAAACGCCAAAGGTTTTAGGAATTTTCAGTTTAGAGAAAAGATTGCTTAGGTTGATGTGATATGATATGAAATTACGCACAGTCTGGAGAATGTGGATAGAGACAATTGTTCTCCCCTCTCTCTTGATAGGGGTGCCCCAATGAATTCAAGACAGACAAAATAAAATAATTTGTTACACAATATATAACTGTTAGAACTCACTATCAATGTTCCCTCTAAGCAGTGGAGTCTTGTGAGCAAAAATTCTACTTTGTGAGCTACTTGCATTAAAGTTGTGAGCAAGCGATTTGGCTACTGGATAAATTTAGTTTGCTCTGGGGCCATCCTTCCTGAGCTAAGACAAAAATGTGTGAGCTGGAGACTAAAAAACTGAGCTAGCTCACACTTACTCAGCTTAGAGGGAACACTGCTCACTCACAGGAAAGCTTGTAATGGGGATTAGACAAATTCATGGAGGATTAGTCTGCCAATAATTATTATCCCTAATGACTAAATTGTACCTCCATGCTTAGGGGCAGTTTACCTCTGAGTATCACATATTGCAGGGAAACAAAGGGGGAGTCCTGTGAAGCTTGTAATGGGGATTAGACAAATTCATGGAGGATTAGTCTGCCAATAATTATTATCCCTAATGACTAAATTGTACCTCCATGCTTAGGGGCAGTTTACCTCTGAGTATCACATATTGCAGGGAAACAAAGGGGGAGTCCTGTGACTAGGTTATGTATCTTCCAGGGGCATCCTGTTGGCCACTGTGGTCAACAGGATACCAGTGTAGATGTACTATTGGTCCAGCAGGATTGCATTTACAGTCTCGTCTAAAGCCTTACAGGGCTGCAATTCCCAGATCAATTTATGAAATCCATAATAATAAATCCTATATAATAAATCCATAATAAATCCATAATAATAAATCCATAATAAACCCTAACCCTATATAACACTATATTTGTAATGTAGATTTATTCTAACTTTTCAGGACGCTGGCTCTCACTTAAAATTACTCTGAAACCTCCATATCAGAAGAAGAGGGGGGAAAGCAGGCCTACTTTTTTTGGTGTTTCAACTAGTACATCAAGGATGCTGGATTTTTCTGACCAATGTCATTTTGTAAGGAAAATGCATAACAATTAGTTTGGGCCTAGAACAAGGTTGTTCATAGTGCTCAGAAATTTTTCTTCATTTTCATTTGCCAGGAAACTGCTTCTCACTAACAGCATCTGACTAATGAAACGTTATACCCATCTTCCTTCAGGTAGGATCCTTTATGAACATGCATTCAGATAAATTGCTGGATTCATTTTTAAGGATTAAAACAACAATAATTTCCAGTTCTTCATCCTGCTATATGGAACAACATATGTTGTTACTTCTTTCCCAAAGTACATTCCAGGAAAACATTTAATTTTTGATAGATTTTTCAGTGTTACCCTAGAACCTGTTTGAACAAAGACTTTGTCATAATGTTCAACACTAAGATCTGTGGTATATAGACAGGAATTTTTTTGCCTTCCAAGCTTCCAGTATTATAGACAGGATAAAGTACATATTAAAAAATGTTCCTTTGAATAAGCCATGGGGCATTCTTGCATTTCATTAAAAATCTCATTTAGTTCTATGGCTTTTTAATAAATGAAAGGTTTGGAAATCACACTGCATATATCGATACCTTTTCCCAATCTGCCACTCTGTGGATTTGAGTTTAGGATAGCCACTGCCACAAAATTAAAGATGCAGTCATGTGAGGTGTGTCTAATGTGAGAAGGAAGCACCAGGGAGGAAGGAATGATTGATTGGTGGGCCAGGGACCGAACAGAGCAGGGCATGAGTTAGTGGGATGGCGGGGAGGGGGATGTGTGAAGGTATTTTAGGAGCAACTGGTTGCTGACATGAGCAAAAAGTGATTGAAATTATCTTATTCTGGGGCATGCTACATAGGTTTAATCAGAAAAGTGTAAGTGTAAATGCATGGAGTTCACTTCCTCGCAAATTATACTCAGAGTCAATGGTGTCAAATGTGCAGAGTCAATCTATAGTTAATGATACATTGCGCACTGTACACAACTCAGTTGGATTTAAATTGCCTTACAGCATTCTGCTAATGTATGTGAAAAGTACAAGGAAAAGACCAACCCACAGGACTGAAGAAATGACATACAAGCGAATATGACAAGTTACACAACCCAGACTGTATTTCAGTAAAATCCACATGTTCCCCAGCATCTCTCAAAGCACTGTGATTTTTTAAAAAAACAATGGTGATACAATTATTTTCCTTTATCAGCCTAAGTATTCTACCCCATAGAAACAGTAACTAAGTTAATGGAAACAGAAGTTCTTAACATACTTATGTACATTCATAGGAACAGAGATGTACTCACAGCTTTCACAGCGGTTCCCAGTATAACCAGCCAGACAAGCACACCTGTAGCCACCAACTTTATCTAGAACACAGGTTCCGTCATGAAAACATGGAGATGAAGAGCAAGCTGGAAAAATAAATACATGGAGGACCTCTCAGTTTCTTTCACATGATATCGCCATCCTTTTATCTCTATACATCCCTCTTCCCAAATGAAATGTACAAATAAATTATGCATTTCCAATCTAAAAGGTAAAGGTAAGGGTTCCCTTACTCGAAAGCCAGTCGAGTCCGACTCTAGGGTTGCAGTGCTCATCTCCGTTTCAAAGCCGAAGAGCCAGTGCTGTCCGAAGACGTTTCCGTGGTCATGTGGCCGGCATGACTAAACACCAAGGCGCACAGAATGCTGTTACCTTCCCACCGAAGTGGTACCTATTTATCTACTTGCAATTTCTTGCTTTCGAACTGCTAGGTTGGCAGGAGCTGGAACTAGAGACGGGAGCTCACTCCGTCATGCAGCACACCCGGGTCGCGAACTGCTGAACTACTGACCTTCCACAGCCTGCAGTTCAGCATCTTAACCACTTGAGCCACCGCAGCTCCACCTAATACCCTACAAGTGCTTGAATCCTGACTAACATTTCTGCAAGTATCCCATGGGGCACCGTTTTCCTGCCTGCACCCTCCCATGGCAGCCCCAAATGCCACCCCCAAATCCTGTTCCTGGAGGAGAGAGGACAAGGGAACATGACCTGGGGAGGTTTTTCAGGCTGCCGCAGAGGAGTAGAGGTGGTAAACTCGACTTCTGTGAGCAGAAAAGCTTGTGCTCACCGAAATATCTCATCTGGGTCCAAACCACTGGATCTAATGGTAGGACAATTCTGGTAGTCGAATACCTGATGCCAGTAGTCCTGAAGTTAGACTGCAGCTGCCAAATAGGTAACACACCTTACAATGCCAAAATGTTGATGGCATATTTTGGTGGTATTTAGCTCCATGGAGATTCAAGAGGAGTTTTTAAGGAGAAAAGATTCCAGAACGGTAGCCACATTACTTGGTTGTAGCACAAATTACGAAGGGTTTTCAAATACCCCACAGTTATTGTGGCAAACCTTTTGGGAGCTGGAACTTACTTAATTTACAGACAATTTACATGCAATCCAGGACGTCCAACGGGGCATACAATCAAAATGTAAAGCTCAAAAGAAGGTCAAGGAGAAGTGGGCTATTTCTGTTTCCTCTTGGACCCTCTTCATTCACATTCCTGCCCTGTGATCATAACCACCTGAATGGCAGGATGCATTTTCTCTTACTGCAGCCTCTCCATCTCTCAGGATAAGAGCCACTCTTGAGGAGACAGAACAATTCCCTTTAAATTCTGAGGTCGGACTGAATGTGCAACAAATCAAATGTGCAGCCAACAGGAGGAGGCTATTTTAATCAGAGTACAATTTGCCAGCCTCTGGAACATGTGAAAGAGGAGCAGCAAATAATCAGCAAGAGAAGATAGAAGAATGGCAGGCAAGCTGAATGGGCACATTACTCGAAGAGAGAGAGCTCCCAGCAAGGAAAATCATTGCTGAACTTTCAGTGTATGTGTCATCCTAGCATTTACCTCCCTTTGCGCCTAAAAGCAATCAGGTCATATAAGGTCTTCCTCAAGCCAAATGTTATCCATCGCTTTTATTCCCATCATATATCAAAAGACACATTCAAGCATCTTGTCAACTGTATGATACACAAAGTCTCTTACCCTACATTCCCTAGATTTGACTCACATACAGTATTTATTTATTTATAATTTCAGTTTGTGAATTGCTCTATCCCTATCTATGGATTTTAAAAAATAACGTCATAGAGCCAATTTGGTGTAGTGATTAAGTGTGCCGACTCTAATTTGGGAGAACCAGGTTTGATTCTCCACTCCTCCACTTGCAGCTGTTGGATGACCTTGGGCAAGCCATAGTTCTGTCAGAGCTGTTCTCTAAACGGCTGTTCTGGAAAGAGCTCTCTCAGCTCCACCTACCTCACAGGGTGTCTGTTGTGGGGAGGGGAACGGAAAGGCATTTGTAAGCCACTCTGAGACTTCAAGTGAAGGGCGGGGTATAAATCCAATCTCTTCTTCTTCTTCTGACTGATTTCTCTGATTTGCGAGTCATTTAACTGTCTAGTTGAAAACTTACGTGCTGAACAGAGCAGTGGCACAGCAAGAAGGTAGGGAGTAGAAGTCAATCTGGCTGTGTGAGAAACTGCAGGTTGCACTGTAAGGAAGGAACATGGGGAGACAGCTTGCTGACCAGCCACAAACAGGTCAGTGAACAGACCTGTTGGATCCACAGTGGAAAATCTGGCTCCCTGTTCATAAGTAGTGAACAGAATATGAGTGAAACCAGTGGGCGTTTTGAGTATCCTCCTTTTTAATGTGGCATCTGGTTTAGAAGCTTTGAGAACGTTGCTTGGGAGACTAAGAATGTGTTGTGGGTATGGTGAACTCTACCACTGGGTAGTGTGGAATTGTTGAAGAAATCATAAAATTGCTTTGTACAATGTTTTAAAGGATAATTTCAATAAAATGGCAGCCTCTGATAATATTCTCTTGTGTTTGTGTAGGGGGAGGGTTTATTAGCTCTCTCTAGACCTACTGATCTAGATCAACTCTCCCTAGAAGCTAAAATGACTAAACTGAGGCTATCGTACTTTGGTGACATTATGAGAAGACAAGAGTCACTAGAAAAGACAAGAACGCTAGGAAAACTTGAAGTCAGCAGGCAAAAAGGGAGATTATGCCTGATGCCAAGTCTGGTTGGGGGGGGCAACCCAACACACACTACACATAACATCTAGCAACTATTGTTGGTCCAGTTTCTGCTGGTGCGTGGGCAAGAGGAATTTCAGCCTTCCCTCCTATGCTGTTTTTCTGATCTGAAATGGCCGCGGGGGGGTTGTCCCTACCCTTGGGGCTCCATGTGTACTGACTTTGACCCACCCATGGCCATTTCAGCTCAGAAAACCTATGAGCAGAAACTGGCCCCACAGGGCTTGGGAACAATAGTTTGCTGATGTTTTGTGAACTATGAGTTGGGTGGGAGACCCCTGACCCAATCTGGGTCACACATTATGTTTCCTTGAGCCCTCAGCACTCTCTCTGAAAATCTGATGTGGAGTAGCAGATCTGCTGCTTCTTTGTCTCTTGTTAAGCTCCACTTAGCCTCCTACTAAAGATCAGGATTCACTGGACTGGAAACCTCCTCTGCCCCATGCCAATTTGTCTTTTTTTGTGTGTCATGTTTTAAAACTTCAGTGTCCCACTGAAGAATCAGGACATGGGTGTGATCTTGATGAACAGGAAATTTTGCCAATGAAAACAAAAAATTGACTGCGTCTGAGATTCATTGACAAACTTTGAAAGGATCATTCAGCTTCGCACTGTCCTAGAGCCGGCTTTACCCGAAAAGTTTGGGTGTGATTCTGGATGCCTCCTTTTCAATGGAGGCCCTTTTATACGCCATCTATTAGTTGTTGTTATATTGTTGTATTGTAGAATTGTTTTAATATTTTAACTGTACGGAGTGTTTTATTAATGTTGTTACCCGCTCTGAGCCCCATTATACAGGGGAAGGCGGGCTATAAATCAAATGATTAAGTAAATAAATAAAATTAACAAAGGAAGTCACATTTACTTATGTCTCAAAAGTCTTCACATTTTATATGTTAAGCTTCCTGATTTCATTTGGGTCACGGTTTGAAACATGCTTGCTTTTTAATGGATAATGCCCAGCATTCACTTCTTGCACTCACAACACATCAAGAGCACTGCATCAAAAGTGGTGACAACATTTTTGGGGTTGACGTTACTGTTAATGTTGCAGAAATGCAGCTAGCCAAACACCTTGTGAGCAGTGCTCACATAAAGGAAACTTGGATAAAGACATCTTCGTAAGGGCTGGCAAAATAAGTGGGAATGTCTGGGGCAGAAAAAGAGATCTGGACATTTCAGAAAGACCGCCTTTTTTGTGGAGATGAGCAGAGTTACATTTAAAAAATTAAACAACTGAATATTGTCATTAAAAGCACTAATGGAGAAGGGATAGAGAATGGCCAGGAACTGTGACATGGAGAATAACAGCTGCCAGCAGAGTCACTCAAAACACATGCACAAGACTTCACGCATTGTAATGGTCAGACTCTACAGTAGTTCTCAAGCTTCTGCTTGTTCAAGCTTACACCAGTTGCTGTGCAACAGATAGGCTTGCAATTCGCCTCCCTATGTGACACAATCATCTGTCCTCAAGAAACTGAGGAGCAGGAGAAGAAGAAAAAAAGGCTGGAAATGGCCTCCACAGTGAGACTCTTAAGAATTTTCCCATGGCCTTTATCATAGACATTAGGGGAAATTCCTAGAGTGTCATCTGGAAATGACATCACATCTTCCCCAAACTCGACCCTCTCCAAGCTGTCAAAATGTCCTGGCATTTGCCAAGGCAGTGCTCATCAACTGCACTGCAGGTTTCCTTCATTTTCATTAAAATGGTGAGGTGGTAATGATGGCCTTGTAGCTTTCCTATGCCTACTTTTTTTTTAATGCTGACAATACAGAACAAATGTTGACACAAAATAGCAAAGGTATCAGAAGACAGAGGTATCCGAGCTGCGAAAAGCATGTTTATTCTTTTTAAAATCCCTTTACCTGTAATTTCTTCAAAGATGGCATGAAACCCATCAAAATTCTTTGACCCATCTGAATGAAAAAGTATGTGGAGTGAGGGCCCTGTGCTTCGGATTGGAGGAGGCCTGTCATTCCCACAGAAACGCTTAATTATCCTGTTATCGACACTGTCCCCATCTCGGATCTCCACATAATCATACTGGCACATATAGTCAAACTCCAGACTCAGCATGGCAAATCTTTGGCAAAAAAAAAAAGGAAAGAAAGAAAGAAAGGTTAAGTTTAGGTAAATTAATTAATATTGATTTTCTAAATCTAAGCTCCTTTAATCTGATCAGTCCCTCTCCCCCTCTCCCTTCATTTTCTTAGGAGAAGAGCCTCAATTCATAAAATAGGAGTGATTTATACAGTTAGTAAATTTATTATATTATGTATTATTTATTTATTTAGGCATTTTTACCCCTCCCTCCCCGCGAGCGGGCTCAGGGCGGCTTACAAGGGGCGAAAGCCCATACATAAAATCCAATAAAACAATAAAATCCTAATTTTTTTTTAACAAGACATTTTTTATTGGTTTTTTTCAAAGAAACAGAGAACAGACAAGTTGTCAAATACGAAATCAGAACAGTTACAATAACAGTAAGGTAAATACAGTGAGGACATAATAAATAATAACAATACTAACAACAATAAAGTGCTTTCAGTGACAAGATGGTCTTGAGTGGTTATGATGGCTTGAGTGGTTATGATGATCTCCAGGCCAACCTCCAGGTGAGGCCTGGAGATCTCACAGCATTTCAGCTTATCTCCAGATAACAGAGTTCAGTTCCCCTGGAGAAAAGGCTGGTTTGGAGGGAGAACTGTATGGCATCACATCCTTATTGAGTGCCTTCCCTAAATACTGCCCTCCCCAGACTCTGGTCCCAAATCTCCAGCAATTGTCCAAACCAGAGTTGGCAGCCTTCATTGCTAACCTCCAGGTGGGGCCTTGAGTTCTTCCAGAATTGCAACTGTTCTCCAGGCAACAAAGATCAGTTACCCTGGAGGAAACGGCACCTTCAGAAGGCGGATGTTAATCTGGTACTTTTTTGGCTTGCTAGGAAACTGAGCTTAAACTAGAAGGACAGAAGGGTGGTAAGAATGGCAGTTAATGGTTTAACATTAGATTTAGATTGGCTAATATACATTAAGTTTGCTCTCATGTTTGCATCGTTTTGTTTCAAGAATATTTATAAGGTTTAATGGCTTGTGAGTGTCCTCTACTGGTTTAGAACTGATTTAGAATGATACTTTATTGACTTATGCTTTAGCATTGCCTGTTTATTTGCTTATGTTATTTTTGTAACCCTCTGCATCCTACTGATGGTTTTCAATCCATGCCTTTTTTATATGTATTCCTGTATCATGCATCTGATTCAGTTTTCTGTTTGCAACCAGCTTCTATAGTATGCTGTGCAGAAATGCCTGCCAATAAACCGTTTAATTCATATCAATAATGCTTTGGAGCAGAGGTCATTTTGGGGGGGAACGCGGGGGAACGCAGTTCCCCCGGGTGAGGTGCGGGGCACACTATGAAGCCCCGCCCCCTGTTTCCGGCCGCCCCGCTTCCAGCCCTCATTCGCCGCCCCGCTTCCGGCCCTCATTCAGCCAGGAGGAGGCAGGAGAAGAGGGAGGGTAAGTTGCTTCCTCCCCGCCTCTCCCCACCCCTGCCTGCCTGGGGCCAGGGAGGGCCTTGGCGGGGCTTCCTCGCACTCCCACCGGCCTTGCAGGTCCACCGCCGGGCCCCTGATGTCAGGGGGTGTGGTATATGCTAATGAGTTATGCTAATGAGTTCCCCTAGCTCTTTTTCTACGAAATGACCCCTGCTTTGGAGTATGCATCTTTCTACTGACAGTTGTGTACCCACTGCGGTGAGAACCTGTAAAAAAACCCGAGAAGCCTCTTGCTTAAGGGGACAGAATTAACAGTAGGTCGTGTGGCATCACATCCCTGCTCAGCTTCCTCCCCTCTCTAAATGCCTCCCTCTCCAGGATCCACCCCCAAATCTTCAGAAATCCCCCAACTCAGACTTGGCAACCCTAGTTCACACAGATGTAGCTGTATAACTTAGACCTGGGCCTGTTTTACTAGGTTTGTTGAAACTCATTCAGTTTTTATGAGAACTTCTCAAGTGTCGCTCCTGAGAAGGACTTTGCACATTCCCTTCACATTTCATATAAAACAAAATCTGTAAACAATATGTAGAACCATCCTTCATACCCCTCACTCCATCTCTGGAAAGTTTTGCTATCCTAATTAAAACTAAAATCCCTCAAGTGTTCTGGCTAAGAAGGAATTATTAAATTAATTTCAAGTTTTGCTTTGTGAGTGGTAACTCTAATTTTATCTGGTTGTGAAAATGCTGAGATATTATTGAAGCTGTGGCAGGTTCCTTCCTGACAAGTGGAAAAAATAGCACCTCTCCTAAAACCATTCACTTGTGTCAATAAAATGGAATTTCACCACTGAAAATCCTCCTGTGTAAAATTAATGACAGTGACACATAGACAAAGCAAGGTAATAACTTTTGTGCAGCCAAGTTGTATTGATGTAAGAGGTTTCAGCTTTCACACATAACTTTTTACCAAGCAACTGAACATGCCCCATCCCTCTTTCTTTACATCCCTTGACTATAATTTACAATTGTGGCAAGATTTATAATACACCTTCCACAACTGCCTGTAAAACTGCATTAAGCCCTAGACCAGTGATTTCCAATACTTTTGGAGTAGCAACACACCCTATTATTCTTTGGTACAGTGACATCATTTTTTTATACAAAAAATTGCGATGTCCCTCTCCCCCTAAATACAGTAAATTAAATTTGAAGTTCTCTCCCCCTAAATACAGTAAATTAAATTTTAAGTTATGGTTTGAATCCAGACTAGTTTTTCAACAGGCAAAAGGACATCTGCTCTCCCATTGTGCAATTTTCCTGCTACCCCATGGAGTGCCCACGAGTTCTTGTATTGTGAGAAAGGGAGAAAAGTACTACTCTTTCCAGACTAGTTTTTCAATAGGCAAAAGGACATCTGCTCTCCCATTGTGCAATTTTCCTGCTACCCCCCTGCCCATGGCAGACTGAAATGCCCCCCCATCATGTTCCAGCTGCTACAGGAGGGGGGGGGAATGGGAAAATAATGAACCATGGGCAGAAAGTCCTTGCACCGACAGAAATGCTAGTCTGGATCCAACCCTCTATGTCATATAAAACCAAACCAAACATTTATTTAATTAGGAACAATAACTCTCACATTGTATTGCATTTGAAATTGTATATGCCATGGGGTCGCGAAGAGTCGGACTCGACTGTGCGACTGAACAACATGCCAGTGTAATAAAATGCTGCTCTTTGTATGGAACTTTGCCGTCTTCCGCTCCCCTCTGTAGCTTGCCACGCTCTCTGAAATTAAGCTCTATTGATTCCAGCCAATCCATTTACAAATTTTAAAACTGCTGAGGGAAAAAAATGCTATCTATCATCTATCTGTGACATAATTGAAGAAGAGAAGGAGAAGGGTAGGTTTTTATACCCCACTTTTCTCCACCTTGAGGAGTCTCAAAGCGGCTTACAATCGCCTTCCCTTCCTCTCCCCACAATAGGCACCTTGTGAAGTGGGTGGGGAGAGGATTCTTAGAGAACTGTGACTGGCCTAAGGTCACCCAGCAGGATTCATGTGGAGGAAGGGGCAATCAAACCCACTCCTCCCTTAGAGTCCACCATTCTTAACCACTACACTATGCTGGCTCTCAGCTGGCAACACACTAGGGGCTGCTGAAAAACCAGACTTAGGAATCACTTCTCTGTCTAGTCCTCTGAGAACTCCCAAAAGGACCGGATTATTCAGGATGGGGGGGGGAATATTTAGAAAGGTCAGGGGGTAAGAAAAAACATTCCCTCAACTAATTTGGTTGAAACTGATACAAGAGACTATCCTATTTCTGCATGTATTTTTCCATATTTGTATCAACATACATTTTGGGACACGGCTGATTATTTTAAACCTATGGCTGTCTGGAGCTAGAAGACCTTACCCTGCACACACACCAAAGCCTCAGAGATTATCCCTATTACATACATGTTTTCTTGGGAGCGAGGCTGGATTGTTAGAACCAAGCTGCAGTGCTAGTACATATGTGAATGGCAGGTGATAGTGTAATTTGGACTGCAGTCTGGACAGACAATTCTGCAGACATATCAAAACTCAGTTCAATTATATATTAGTTCAAATTCTCTAGCAAACAACTGCATACTACATTATTGTTAAAGAATGAAGAAAACATGAAATGACCCATTTAGGAGGAGCTACTACATCAAAGAAAACAATATTAAAATGCAAATCTGGTTTAGTATTAAAGGAAATGAATGTGGATTATGAAATACTGAGGCTTTTGTACACAGTATGGGCCAACAGGACCTGACACACAACTATCTGAAAGAAAATCATGTTTCAAAACAAGCAAGCAAGCAAAAAAAACAAAAAAAAACCCTCCACGGAATCCTGAACTTTGCTTATCAAAGAATGCAATTCTGAGTAATTAAAGGAAAAAATGTTTGCTTTCACATACTATTACTAGCAGCCACACATTTTGGTTGCAGCAATTACATATAAATCATCAGAAAGAAACAACAGAGGTGAGGCTGTTCCCAACTAGGTTTTTCTTTTTCTTCTTAATCTGTCTTTACCGCTAGAAGAAGCTACTAAGTGGCTGGAAATGCGAAGCATTTCACCATTTGCCCCCCCCCCCCAGCTCCCAAATGTGAAAGGCAGACTGGCAAGACTTCTGTTTTTTTCACACCTTTTGCAAGAGCCTCCTCCTCCTATTGGTGCAGCCCTCAGTAAGACCCCCAACATCCTTGGGTTCACAAATTGTGCAGTGAGTATTGTCATCTTATTCAGCGATAACCAAATGGGCTCTGTTCTTTTCTCCATGAGCTTTCAAGGGCTACGGAGACCAAAGGTGGTCATCACAGTGACAATTCACAGTCACAAAAGGAATGCAGAGTTCAGATAAGGAGTCAGGAACTCCATGGGAGCCTCCAAGTTCCTTTTCTCCTGTAGACCCCCCCCCTTTCTTATGAAATATTAAAGGTGTCGTTAAATGTATGGAAAGAAATATGACTGTGCTCACAGCACAAGCTTCTACTTTGGTCTCCAAAGCTGATGAAATATTGATGAAAAGCTATTAACTTTGTTTGAATTTGTCACCCTGCTAGGCTTCCTGGTATAATTCTGAGAATCCTGCAAATGTATTTATTAAATAAATATATACCCTACCTTTCTGCATAGAGCCTTCAAGACAACTTACAAATTGAAACAAAGTAAATAAACCAAAATTAAACAAAGCAGCAGCAGTGACTGATGAGTTACAAAGTTCGCTTAAAGCAGTGTCTGTGATTAAAAAACTAAAAACCAAATCTATCTTACTAAAAGGTAATGAAAATAAAACAATCCTTGCCTTGCACCTGAAAATAAATGATATTAGGTGAATATGTTTCAGGTGAGTATTCCACAGTTGGGGTGCCATGCCCCAAATTGCCCTGTCTTTAGTAGCCACCCACATAACTTCAGATAATGGTAGAACCCAGAGAGGCACCTTAATTGATGTTCTTGGTACATGGGCAAGTCCATGAAGGAGAAAGTGGCATTTCACACAAATGGTGCAACCCACTATGTACCGAAGCTACTGGCTTCAATTACTGAAGACTGGCTATTGGGTAAAAGTAGGGTTGCCAAATCCACTTACCCCTCGGAGCGGGGGAGCCTCGTCTGTGTCCGGGAGGTGCTTTTGGGTGCGTGCGTGCGGCAGGACGTCACCAGAAGTGACGTGCGACGTTGCTGACGTTGGGGGCGTGGCCGAGCTTGTCGGGGGAAAACCATATGGTTTCCCCCCGACGAGCTTGGCCACGCCCCCAACGTCAGTAACGTGGCTGCGTCACCTCTGGTGATGCAGCTTCAGGGGCGGGGTTCCCCCCAGGCCCCGATTCCGCCAGGGCGGAAATCGGGGCTCCGAAGCGGGGGATTCCCCGCCCCCTGGGCCCATTTGGCAACCCTAGGTAAAAGGTCAGCAGGGTGTCTCTGAGACTTGCACAGCAACACACTGTCCATTTGAATCTCAGTAATTAATTGCAGAGACATTTTGAACCACAGCTGAGGAACCTGACATTTATAGCGACACAAGCTTGCAACCCTCGTAAAGTAGCATGATTAGCAATTGTGTAATGGAGTGATATCATGCAAACATTTTCTAAATCTATGGAGGGGAAAAACATGTGGATAGGAAGGGATTGGTAGGAACTCTGGAAATGGGCATCTCATCTGAAAAAAAATGTTATGGAGAAGGAAATAAATAGCATAATCAAATAAAGAGAAATAGGCACACTAACTGGTGTGCACAGATAGCCTCATTTGAAAAGCCAGATTCCTACTGAGAAATAGGTGTTTTCCAGACTGCAGCTGCTTGTGGGGTTTTCATGGGCATTATGGCAGTTCCAATGATTGCACTATCGGTACAATCAGTTCACACTTTTTTCATTCCCCCCCCCCCCCCCACCGCA